CTCGTTACTGAAAGAAACGCCTCTTTTGGACATGCACTCCTTTTTATTGATCTGAAGGCATCTGAATGTGTTGGTTTCATGTCTAAATGAACACCCTGGTCAGTTTTCCATAAAAGCTACAATGACCATCTTACTAGGTCAGATCTAGGGACATTTACATAAAACTCTCAACACAGTACAAGTCTGAGGTGCATGGAGTCACATTAATGGATAGGCAAGCACAAGGTTAGGACATACTGGTGTAGGACACTGTGACGTGTAGTGTACTTATCAGTCATGACAGTCTAGGTGTCTGCGCATGTCTCTCATGCATCTCTAGGTGTTGCTCAGCTTACATCACTATTTTGGAGAATGCCCGAAACATGAATAAAATGAGGGTGGCTGTAGCTCAGGAGGTAGAGGTTGCCTCTTAACCGCAGGATTGGTGGTTCAATTCCAAGCTTTTCTAGTCCACATGTCAAGTGTCCTTGAACAAGACACTGAACCCCAAGCTGCTCCCGGTGGCTGTCCCATCGGTGAGTGAGTGTGTGTATGCTTGGGAGTGTGAAAGGGGGAATGAGCAAATAGTGTGAAAATGCTTTGAGTGTGCTGCAATGCATGAAAAGTGTTATACAAGTGTAAGTCCATTCACCATTTACATGAGGGAAAATAAAAATCTCCTAGAACTCATTAATGTTCATCTGGAATGTTGTAGTAAGAAAACTCTGGCCTCATACAATATACTGACTTGAGGTACTGTCTAATCTCACCTATATGACAAATAGCGTGCCGATTAACCCCTACTGAAAATAATCAAAATTTGCACTTTGATACAAAATAATTTGGAAGAGCTCCACCTCAACCAACTATAACAGTCAAGTCCTGCTTTGACATCACTGCATGAGTGTTAGGCTGCTAATGTAATGATATAATATAGTGTATACTAGAATAGGATATACAGTATAACATTTTTCTGCACTGAGTAGCCTACTTTTACTCTCAATACTTTAAGTAGATTTTCATGATAATACTTAATTTTACTTAAATTTTCGATGCAGGACTTGTAACAGAGTAGGTTACTTTTACAGTGTGATTATTTGTACTTTTACTTAAGCAAAGGATGTGAATACTTCCTCTACTACTGGTACTAACATTCTTTAGTTATACAACATGTTATAGTCATATGTTTTTTTAAAAATCATGTTTATCATTCTGTTTGTTCTTTAGGTTCAATCTAGTGCTGCGGTCCAGCTCAATTAACTGTCAGAGTACATGCAATAAAAAAACACTATTTTGTTTTCATTCTTTTGAGGGTTGGTGTAGCTGATAATAATAATAATTGTGTAATACCATATAGCAATACTGTGAAACTGTGATATTCTCTGAAACAGTTATCATACCATGAAAATCTTCTACTGTTGCACTTTAGTCCTTTCTGAGACCCAGCCCAAACCTACTGCTTACTGGTGAAAACAGCCATATGTTCTAAGGTAGGAACAAATGATGTACTGGATTAGGTTAGAAGACTTGTTGGCAGCTTGAGATAACAGCATAACATTTTGAGATGTTCGTGTATGTGTTTTCTTAAGAATATGTACAGATGTTATGGGTGACCAAGAGATAGGGTGAGGAGCTTGATCACCCGGGAGGAGCTCAGAGTAGAACCGCTGCTCCTCCACATCGAGAGGAGCCAGCTGAGGTGGCTCAGGCATCTCTTTCGGATGCCTCCTGGGCGCCTTCCTAGGGAGGTGTTCCAGGCATGTCCCACCGGGAGGAGGCCCCGGGGAAGACCCAGAACATGATGGAGGGACTATGTCTCTCGGCTGGCCTGGGAACGCCTCGGCTTTCCCCCCGAGGGGCCGGGGGGAGCG